TTAAAAAGACACATATCCGAAGTGGAAGGAAGGCCAGTCCACAAAAGAAGAGGACAGACAAGTAACAAAGAATTGCAGGGATGGCATTAGGAAGGTGAAAGCAGAGAATGAGCTGAGGTTAGCAACAGATGCTAAAAGCAACAAAAAAGCATTCCTCACGTATGTGCATAGCAAAAGACAGAGAAAACAAATAGCAGCTTAGCTGCTCAAAGGAGATGGAAAAATGATAACAGATGACAAAGAAAAGGCAGAAGTGTCCAATTCCTACTTTAGCTCCATCTTTTCTCAAAAGACAGTATATGACCCTCTAGGCAAAGGTGAAGTTCAAAGTCAGGGGACAGAATTGCAGCTTAAGATGGATTTTAAAAAATAAAGTCAAGGAATACCTTATTATTCTCAGAACCACTATCTATTACTTTCTTGAAATCACACAGGATTGGTGAAGTGCCAGATGATTGGAGAGCTAACATTGTCCCTATCTTTAAAAAAGGCAAAGAGGAAGAACCTGGGAGCTACAGACCACTGAGCCTGACATCAAACCCAGGGAAAAGTCTGGAGCATAAGGGAATGCTTATCAAATCTGGATCTGTCACAAAATTGAGTAGAACAGACAGAAACAAAATTCATAAAGATCTCAAAAACTGGGCTGAAAACTGCCAGATATATCCGCAAAAACTGGGCTGAAAACTGCCAGATATACCCTGTTTCCACATAAAGATCTCCTAACCTGAAAATAAGCCCTAGTATGATTTTTCAAGATGCTCATAATATAAGCCCTACCCCCAAAATAAGCCCTAGTTAAGTGAAACTCCGCTCTCCACCATTGTGCAGCAACCAGAAGATGATGACAGGACTGTATTTGGATAAATGTAGATTGTTATACAAGAAAAAAATGAAACATCCCCTAAAAATAAGCCCTAATGTGTTTTTTGGAGCAAAAATTAATATAAGACGCAGTCTTATTTTCGGGAAAACACAGTACTTTGATTTGAATTCCTTCATTGAACAGAGGCTAGACCTGATGACTGTCTTATTTTCGGGAAAACACGGTATTTTGATTTGAATTCCTTCATTGAACGGGGGTAGACCTGATGGCCTTGAAGGCCACTTCCAACTCCATTATTCTATGATTCTGTGATTCTATTTATGTACTACTAGAGATAACTGTTGCAGTACTCATGAGGTTCATTCAACAGCAACACAATTCATGAAATTAAAACACCATACAGTATCTCAGAGTTCAAACTGTAACTGTGCTCCGCACTTGTTGTTTAATCGTTTAGTCGTGTCCGACTCTTCGTGACCCCATGGACCAGAGGACACCAGGCCGTCCTATCCTACAATGCCTCCCGTAATTGTGTCAATTTCATGTTGGTTGCTTTGCAGACACTGTCCAGCCATCTCAT